GGTTATGATTGGTGGATAAGCAGCGGAATATAAGTTTTCAGTGTGACTCTGCTTACACAGCTCTTGTAAGAAATATTCAGGACTTATTAACATTTTACAAAAAAGCATCTTAGAAACGTGGTTGGGAAGTACCACTTTCCTTCTGAATATGGAAATGCTAAATACATGTTGGTTACTCATAATCTAAAGGATGTTATTCAATGAAACTTCCATCAGAAAGCTTGGTAAAGTTCCTCTCAGAAAAGTGTAAAAATGTCAGAGCTTCTGTATTTTGTGTCAGATTTTCATGTCAAATATGTTTAATTGCTGAGCCTGCTCCCTCCACCAGGATTCAGAAAGTCAAACTGGGTTCTTAGTGTTCTCCTACATCACACACACAAGGAAGGACATTACTTTCAGTGGAGTAACAAATTGGAATGAAGTAAATTTATGTATAAGAAAGGAATAAACTCTTCCTTCAGTTTCAATTAGAAAAAGACTTAGAACTAAAGTGCAACTAGCCCATCTTAATCCAAAATTAATATTTGCTCCCTTTTTCAGCTGTTGAAATAGTTCTTAAAATCACACCTTAAATTAAACCAGTGCTGTTTCTGTATTTAGTCAAGGCTAAAGCTTCCCTTCAGAGTGAAATCAGTCTTACTTCAATATAGTGGGTTAAACCAGTCCCTATAAAACTGTAGTTGATGCATTTGTCTTTCTGGTGATTTTAAAGCAAACCCATTCTCTTTGGGGCTGAAAACTCTTGTGCTTGTGATTGACTTAAACTTGGTCAAAAGATTCTTAAAATTTAATTTGGTGTGTTGTGTTGCCAGAGTTGGACAATGATGTTTTTTTTCAGGTAAAATAACCTTTGTGGGTGCTTATTTAGACCATTAATAATCGGTCTTAATCTTGCACTAAAAATTGACATAGATCTGGTAGCTGGCATTGAATGCATTTTGTGAAGTTTGGAAAAAACACTGAAATAAACTGCAATTATAGAAAAGTAACCAATAATAATAAGTTACAGGTAAGATCAGATGAGAAACAGTCAAATGAAAGAGTCTCATGCAATCACATCAGGTAATGGCAGACAGCTAAATAGTGACAAGTTTTTAAAGTGCTTATGTACAAATGCTAGAACGCTAAATAATAAGATGGGTGAACTAGAGTGCCTCATATTGAATAAGAATAATATAATAGGCATCAAATAAACTTGGTAGAATGAAGATAATCAGTAAGACTCAGTAATACCAGGATACAAAATATATTGGCAGGACAGAACAGATTGTGCTGGTGAGGGAGTGACAATATATGTGAAATAAACTGTAGAATCAAATGAAGAAAAATTTTAAATAATCAAACTGTTCCATAGTATCTTTATGAATAGTAATTCCATGCTCTAATAATATGAATATAGCAGTAGGGAGATTAGAGAGGCTATAAAAATAAACTCAATAATGTGGGATTTCAGCTATCCTGATATTGTAACTGGTCTTTTAAATCAACTTCTATATCAAATCACTGGAAGAGAGCTAATGTGACACCAATTTTGAAAAAGGACTCTAGAAGTGAACCTGGCTATTAAAGAGTGATCAGTCTAACTTTTCAGCACTTGGCAAATTGGTTGAAACAATAGTAGAGAACAGAATTGTCGGACACATAGATGACAGTTTCTCTAAAGGAAAATCATGCTTCACTACTCTACTAGAATTCTTTGAGGGATTCAACAAGCATGTGGACAAGGGGGATCCAGTGGTTTTCCAGAAAGCCTTTTATATCCACAGAAATCCACATCTGCAGAAGTGGATGCAGATAATCATGTCTTGTTTTTGTGGGTCTGAATGCAGATAAAAAATTCGTATACATGCAGGACTCAATTGAGGGAGTTAGGTATTAATTACTTGTGGCGTTTTGGAAGTTGCCCACGTTTTAGGAGGCAGAAGGAAGTTTTTGCTGATCAGAGTTCCTTTGGTTTTGCCTGCATTTTGTTGGTGGTTTATTGAAATATAGGTCTTTCCCTGCACCAGGTATTTTTTATTTTACAAAATTGTTTTGACGTGGTAGAATTTCCATCACAGAATTGTAGGCATGAAATACTTGTGACTGTAGGAAATTATTTTTCTATGGACTTCATGTCATTCTTTGAGATTATGAGTTTTAGTTTGGTTACGCAAGCTTTTCACCAGTTTTCACACACTGTTTGACTGATGTTGCTTGATTAATTTAATGTTGTACTGCTGTATTTGAGAACTGTTTTCTCCTTCAGTGCATCCTCTTTACTTTCTCCAGTCTCCTCATCTAATTAACCACATGCCTGTTTGCCTGATCTTACCTCAGACTGTTCAAGAGCATATTTCATTCTGAAGTTATTCCTCTTTCTAAAATACTCGGGTGTCTGTATAGAACTTTTCCTTTTAGTTTAAGTGCATTTAAAATTGCCTATTACGAGTAACTTTAATTGCACTTTTACTGTCTTGGTTTTTATTTTGATTTTGGTCTTGGTTTTGATTTTATAGATTTTTGCGCCCCCCCCCCCCCTTTACCCAGACTTCGTAACTCCTTTAGCATCATAGGTGAACACCTTTATACCCTTATGAGTCTACATATTTTTAATTCCTGTCTTCACTTTTTAGTTGACTAAAATAGGAAGGTTATCTATTTACTGTGCTTCAGATTCACACACATGCACAAATTTACTCCTATCTAAAGCAATCAGATTATTTTTGGTAAGAATTTATCTTAGTTATAAGGCTGGAATGTAGGTATTCAGTGGAGCTCCATTCCAAATCCACCACTTTACAGTTGGCCTATTTCTTGTGATTTTAAATTTGAGTATCTGTATTGTTGCAATGTCCAGCTGTAGCTTTCCTTTCTAGTAATTTAACATATTGTACAATATTTGGCTGAAGTGTCTCACTGGAGGCAATATTTAGTTTTTTCACTTTTATGGAAAAGTATATACCCCAGGAACTAAACTAACCTAAACTGTAAAATTAATAATTTTGTTATAACCTCCCTAAAAAAAGGACAACGCATACTTTGGGATTTTTTTGGTTTGTCAGCCATTATCGTATCAACAGCCTACTGGCCCTTCAGAATTGTACTGCTAACTTATGCTCTCTGATTTTGTCACTTTTTGTCCCCTTTATTTAGGAAATTGCAGCAGTCATCTTTGAATCTGATAATTTATATTTAAATAGACCAGCTAACAGTTAATCCTCTTCAGGTTCTAACCTCCTATACCCATAGAATTTTGTTCATTTTAATTTCTATTTCCTACACTTTTCATATTTTCCAACTGTAAATTTATTTTAGATGGCTATCCTGTAGTGTACTTTATACCCATCTATAACTAGTTTGTTTTTTCATAGGATAAGAAATATACACATTTTTTAAAACGCAAGTTCAGAAGCAGTAATTTTAACTGTCTTACAGACCGTGTTCACAAGTGATCAACTGTTACCTATTTAATCATATTATCTATAGTGTAGTAACTAGCAATTTGCTAAAGGTGCTGTGTAAATTGAGTAAATGACTTGGGCTATGTCTACAGTAGAAACCTTACAGTGGCTGTGCTGCTACAAGAACTCTTTTGTAGCTGCTCTGTGCTGATGGGAAAGAGCTCTCCCACTGACATAATTTAAACCATGCACATTGAGAGACGGTAGTTGTGTTGGCAGGAGAACCTCTTCTGCTGTCATTGTGCTGTGCACGCTACCACATATGCCAGCAAAACTTGTGGCTCAACAGTGTGTTTTTTCTCACCGCAAGCAACATAAGTTTTGCTGATGTAAAAGGTAGTGTAGACATCCCTTAAAGCAGAAGAGAGCTGTGCATCCCCCAAAAAAGGAACATGCAAACCTGTTTGAAACAGAGACTGAATTGACCTTTGTTTAGTAGAAGTGGTTTTACAACTTAAATTTGAAACTGTTGGTCAGTTCTGAGGTACTTTCAGCTGTCTAGTTCCCTAAAATGCTTCAGTGTCGTGCCAATCTGCATAACAGTGTCAGAGCTTTCCCATTAAAGTCTCAATTCTCAAAAGATTCATAATAAAGAAAATACAAGAGATTTTTTTTGAGAGATGTAATATAAATTCGTAACTCATGTTTATAAGGATAGTGCAATAATGCTACCTTATAATGTAAGGCAGATGGTAACTTAAACTGTTTATGCAATGTAGTTTCGGTTGAGGTGTCAGTTTTGGTGGTGCTCACAGTGGGTCCAAGTCCTGCTCCCCACAACTTGCAAGAGTTGGATGGGGGTGAGGACTCTGGATTTAGGGTGGGGTTGGAGATGAGTTTTAGTGTGGGAAGGTTGGGGCAGAGGGTTGCTGTGCGGGAGTGCTGGCTCTGACTCTTAGATGGGGTTGGGGGGTAAGGGGCTTGGGGTGTAAGAGAGCTTCAGGGCTGGACCAGGGGTCGGAGTTGGAGAAGATAAGGACTCTGGCTGGGGTTGTAGGCTCTGGGGTAGGGCTGAACTAGGGACGAGGACCTCAAAGTTTGGGGTGCAGTAGGCAAGTTGCCCTGGGGCTGGGGCCAGAGGGGAGAGTTCCCCTTGCCAACACTCACCCAAGCCACATGAGGAGTCCACTCCAAGTCACTTGCCAGGGGGTGGAGGGGCTGCCATGCGCCTCCTTCTTCCACAGATACAGTAGCCAACCTGCCTCCGGCCCTGCTCCTTAAGCCAGGCTGCAACAGCCATTGAGGGAGTTAAGAGGGCCTGGGACTGCCACCTGCAGAGGGAGACCGGGGGACCCTGCAGTGACAGGCAGGGCCAGGGGAAAGACTTGGCCTCAACATTGTTGGAGTCTGAGTACTATGGGCACATACAATCTGGTTTTTTTTATATCTTATCAATTCAAATGACAAAGCTCTATGCAAACATTTTAAAATATCACCTACCCTCTGATATATTTGCCTAGAAAGTTTTTTTGAGCCTAATAGGCATATCCATATCTTCACCCTTGAAATAAACATTAACTTCCTGTGTTTGATTTTTTTTTATTTTTTTTTAAACAGACACCAAATCCTACTGCTAGTGAGTTTATTCCTAAAGGAGGATCAACTTCCAGGCTGAATAACATGTCTCAGTCAAGTATGTCTGCCTTCTCTCAAGCCTTGTTCTCTCACCCTTCCATGGGAAGTCCTGCTACTGCTGGACTAGCTCCAGGTAAGCTGGAAGTAATGATTTGCAGTATAGCTATTATTAATCTGCACTACAAATTTAACCTATTAAAATTAACAGTAAAATTAAAAGTTTTCAGTGTAGATAATCCTAGAATTCCTGGTTTAGCTCTTAATTTAAAATCTTTAGTGCCAATAATAAAACAATAGTTTAACTTTTCAACTAAATTACTACTATAGTACACCTGTACTACAGCATCTTTCCTAATAATGAACCATCAGATATAATGAATCTAGTCCCTGGATTCCACCTTGAGTCCCCCAATGTGCTGGGGCTCGAGAAACTGTTGGCTTCCCTTCTCTCCACAATGGATCTCTTTTGTTATAGCTAGGGTGTATTGCACATATCAAATGCTTTTTATTTATTTCTAGGATAGGTATTGTTTATATAATAACAGATGAACACTAAGATTAAAGCTAAAGATTTAAGAAAATTCTTACCTTATAACACCAAAGTAAATAAAAGACTCCAAACCACTTGTCTTTTTAAAAATTAATTCTGCTCCAACTGTTTGTCCTCTTGAGTAATATCAATTTATAACCCATATTAAAGGTTCTGTTTCCAATTACTTTCACTATTTAAAAACTCCTATAATAATGTGTTCCAGGCAAATCCTGGAATTCAAATGTGTTCTGGAAATAAAAACAGTCAGAAAATTTCAAGCAGTTTCCATATTGCTTTATCAAACTGTGGAATATTTTAATGTTTTCTAATGCTTGATAAAAAGCACATGTGGGAATACTTGGACAATTCGAGTCTATAAAAATCAGTAGGTCTGGATAACATCCATTCCAAGTCTTTAAGAGAATTTGCTAATATACATACTTGTACCCGTGACAATTGCATTTGAAAAGTCATAGAGAACAAGGGCTGTATTAATCAAAAAGGGCAATTGTTGGGCATATTTATATTAAAGAAGAATGTTTATCTTGACAGTTGCTATCTGGCAAGACTAACTTCAGTATTTAGGAAAATAATGGAAGAACTGTCTGTCTAGTTAGAAGAAAATAAAACTTGACTTTAGGCTCCTGTTTGTGAAAATCTTGGTCTTTGAAGTCATGTTGGATGGAAAGTTGCGCAAAATTCATCTCTTGAGAAATTGAAAAATAAGCAGTGACTTCTGAGTAGTTCATCTAGGAACAGGTTACAAACTATGGTGCAGCTTCAATTAAAATGTTGCAAACTGTTCTGTAGCACTTCAATATGAGAAATATGCTGACTCATTGGAGCATACTCAGGGGAAAAAAGCAACAAAACTATGTGTAGGAATTGGCTTTTGCTCATCCCCTGAGGATGGGCAAGATGACCAAATAGATCTTTCTCTTTTTAAATTTTTGATTGAGATTTCTCTTGCACTAAGTGTAAATCGAAAATATAGTTGAAATATTTGAGATACGGCTTTGGACAGAATTTGTTCCAGAATGGTATAAATGTCCATTAAAGTCTGCATCTGTCAACCCAGTCTTTATCAACACTGGATTAACACAAACTTTCCCAATGGATTTTTAAACAAAACCATAGAAAATATAGTGACGGCCAAAATCAGAGGTCATATTTGTCAGCTCTCTGGGGGTATGTCTACACTACAATGTTAGTTCGAACTAACGGATGTTAGTTCGAGCTAACATTCATAGCCCGCTACACTAGCGCTCCGCTAGTTCGAATTTGAATCGAACTAAGCGCTCCGCTAGTTCGATTCAAATTCGAACTAGGAAAACCTCATTTTACGAGGATTAAGCCTAGTTTGAACTAGCTAGTTTGAATTAAGGGCTGTGTAGCCCCTTAATTCGAACTAGTGGGAGGCTAGCCCTCCCCAGGTTTCCCTGGTGGCCACTCTGGCCAACACCAGGGAAATTCTATGCCCCCCTCCCGGCCCCGGACCCCTTAAAGGGGCATGGGCTGGCTAAGGTGGCCATCCCCCGTGGCCGGCCGGCCGGACACAAC